TTTTTTTTTTTTTTTTTTTTTTTTTGGTATGCCGAGCACTGTTTGGTGTGGAGGTTACAAACCCCCCTAAGAAGAGCGCGTGCTGTTGATTTTTGTCGTCTTCTGCATACCAGGCTTCTTCTTCCTTTGGGCGGCGCGACTCACGGTCTCCTACCGACGGGTGAGAGCTTAGTGAGGATTCTGCTGAACATTCCCATTCTCCAGTCTGTCCTCATGAAGATGTTGCTTGAGAAGCTTCCAGAGCACATCACGGAGGCAGACGAGGACAGCGCACAGCAGCCCGACGCTCCGTTCACCTCTCCTGGGGGTGTTCCTGTCGTCTACAGCCTGCCCAGGCTCATCATCAATCAATTTCGATGGTTGGATTTTATCATCGACGGCCCTGCGCTGACGCGAAAGCTTCTCGAGATCGTCCCCATCTGCCCCTTGCTCATCAAGAGGGATATTATTGGAATTCTCCCTGAGGTGATCGTGGATGCAGATCATGAGTTAGTGGTTCGCGCTCTTGAAGACCTGCTGGACGAAGATACTCGACTGGTAGCGTCCGTGCTGGATGCGTTTGCTAACCTTACGTTGGCAGAGGAGTTAACGCTTCAGGTGAGCAGAGCGGCGCTGTCATGAAGAAGGAAGAAAAATGCCTTTCTGTGCAGCACAATCATGAAAAGTCAAAATAGTTGGTTGGGCTTCAAAGAATTAGCCTTGAAAAAAAAAAAAAAAAAAAAAAGTGAAAACAGTGAAAACAGAGGCTATGGGCTGCTTCGCATGTACAGTTCTCAGTAGAAACACGCACATTCCCCGACGCGTTCAAGTTTCGCCCAGGCTGCGCTCCTGGAATTGCTCAGGGGGTTTCCCTCTAGATCCCCGAAACGGAAGAAATGCCTTTCTCCCCCTGCTTCTCCTCCCTCCTCTTGCTTCTTCTTCTTGATCCTCCCTCCCTCCTACTCTTCCTTCTCACTCAGTTGCTCTTTCTCTTGCTATGTCCTCGTCCGTCCTCTTCCACCTTCCTTAGCTTCTTCCTCCTCCGCCTCCTCTTTTCCTCCTCTCCTGCATCTCTTGCTGCTTCCTTGTCCTTTCTCCTACCTCTTCTTGAGCTCCTCCTCCTCCACCTCCTCCTCCTCCTCCTGTTCTCTCTCCTCCTGCCGCTGCTCCTGTTCTATCTCTTGCTATGTCTTCGTCCTTCTTCTTCCACCTTCCTTAGCTTCTTCCTCCTTCTCCTCCTCTTTTCCTCCTCTCCTGCATCTCTTGCTGTTTCCTTGTCCTTCATCCTACATCTTCTTGAGCTCCTCCTCCTCCTTCGCCTCCTTCTCCTGTTCTCTCTCCTCCTGCCGCTGCTCTGGTTCTGTCTCTTGCCATGTCCTCGTCCTTCCTCCTCCACCTTCCTTATCTTCTTCCTCCGCCTGCTCTTCCTCCTCTCCTGCCTCTCTTGCTGTTTCTTTGTCCTTTATCCTACCTCTTCTTGAGCTCCTCCTCCTTCTCCTTCGCTGCCGCCTCCTGTTCTCTCACCTCTTGCCGCTGCTCCTGTTTTATCTCGTGCTATGTCCTCGTCCTTCCTTCTACATCTTCCTTAGCTTCTTCCTCCTCCTCCACCCCCTCTCCCTCCTCTCCTGCATGTCTTGCTGTGTTCTTGTCGTTTCTCCTGCCTCTTCTCGAGCTTCCTCCCCTCCTCCACCTCCTCCTCCTCCTCTTCTCTCTCCTCCTCCCGCTGCTCCTTCTATCTGTTGCTATGTCCTCGTCGTTCCTCCCACATCTTCTTTAGCTTCCTTCTTCCTCCTCCTCCATCTGTCGATGTCCTTGTCCTTTCTCCTGCTTCTTCTTCTTCTTCTTCTTCTTCATCCTCCTTCTCCTCTTCTCTCTGCTCCTGCCGCTGCTGCTGCTTGATCATTTCTCCTTGAAGTTTCTCCTGTTGCCGCTGATCTTGTTCCTCCTCCTCCTCCTCCTTCACTGCCGTTGCTGCTTCTCTTCGCCATCGTCCTCCTCCTTCCCTGAGCTTTTGTTCTTTGGCCTTGCTCGCTCCTTTGCCTCTCTGATACCTCTTTCTCTCCTCTCCCTCCTCTCCCCCGCTTCCTCCTCTTCGTCCTCACCTCTTCTCCCTCTCTCCATCCTCACTTATCCTCCCCCTCCTGCCCCTCCTCCCATTTGGTCTCTCATGGGTGTAATCGAGTTTTTGTTCTGGCTTTTGCAGTGCGCAAATGTTTACCGTCCTTGTTTTCTATTTCGGTATTTTCTACTATTTTGTTTTTCCTCCTTAAAAAAAAGAAGAAAAAAAAAAGAAAAAAAAAAAAGAAAAAAGATTTAACCCTCTTTCTTGTCAACCCCTGCGCAAAGTTCGTTTTTTACCCTCATTTATCTTGTTCCACTCTTCTTCATCTTATGAAGAAGGCTCCAGTCTGTTCATTGGGAGAGAGCATGTGCTGGTAACTGGGCGAGCGTCCTTTCTTCTTGGCTTCGTGAATAGAACAACTACGGAAGAAAAACTAAAGGCATTATTTTTATTTAATTATTAATTCCTGATGAAGGTCAATCGTTCTTTCCAGTGAAATCAAGGCCTGATTGACCTTGGGGACAAAATAGATCAAGCAAGGTATCAACGAGGAGCGAAACTAATTGTGTTTGTATTAACTTTGTAGTAACATCGTACTAACTTCCTCAATCTCCATGTGATCCTCTTAAAAAAACAAAAAGTAAAAAGTAACTTTGTAGTAACTTTGTAGTAACTTTTAACTTTGTAGTGACTTCGTAGTAACTTTGTAGTAACTTTGTCGTAGTAAAAAGTAACTTTGTAGTAACTTTTAACTTTGTAGTGACTTCGTAGTAACTTTGTAGTAACTTTGTCATAACTTTGTAGAGATCCTAAAAAAAAAAAAGAAGTAAAAAGTAACTTCGTAGTAACTTTTAACTTGGTTGTAGTGACTTTGTAAGTAACTTTGCACTAACTTTGTCGTAGCTTTGTAGTAACTTCAGCAGCATCCTACAGGATTTGAACCTGTGACCTTCGAGTAACTTTGTAGCGACTCTTAAGGGGTCAAAGTGTGCGCCAGTAGCAGAACTTAATCCTGGTTCATACCCCTACCTCTTCACTACATCCAAGCGCCGATAGCAGAAATTAATCCAAAGTGTGCGCCGATAGCAGAAATTAATCCAAAGTGTGCGCCGATAGCAGAAATTAATCATGTAGGATGCTTCGAGTAACTTTGGCAGCATCTGCAGGAACACTTGGATGTCATCTGGCTTATCAATGTTACGAAATTAATCAAACGATTCAAAGTTTGTTACGTGTTCAGAAGCATACTTTTCATGGCCATTGCTTCTTCTTCTAATTTACTTGGTAATTTTGCGCCGACCTTTTGGTTGTTTTCGTTTTCGGTTTGAAGTTTGAACCTTTGACCTTTGGATTCGTGATTTTGGTTTGAATCGTTTGATTCATTTCTTTGCTCACTTTTAAGTTTTAACACATATTGTTTTGATAAAAAATGTAATTGCCATTAAATTTGCGAATCTCTGTTTTTTTTTTTTTTTTTTTTTTTTTTTTGCCAATCTTATGCATCCATTCCTTGCAATATTTTGGGACCACTATGCGTGCCGCTGGCTATTTTGGGGCCACGATGCGTGCCGCTGGCTCGCTCAGCCCATCGCTTGTTTCCATCGTTTGCGTGATGTGTTGTGTAGGTTGTTTTCAAGGCGATGAACAGTCTCCGGACAGCGGATGCAGACGATTTGCCAGTGGTAGTGAGGTTTCTGCTGCAATCAACTACCCCCTGCACCTTCAGAGAGGTCGTTCAAGAAATTCGGCGAAATCTTAACTTCCTTACTTTCGAAAATCCGTCAGAGTCGAGCAAAACTGCAAAGTGGAAACAAAAAGCAGTGTCAGCATACAGCGAGGCTCTCGTGCTCGAAGCAATACGCTATGTTCTAAGGTTTCGAAAGGTGGGTGGGTGCTTTCAAAGTACTGAGTCTTCCCCTCCCCCCCGCACCCCGCCCCCCGCCCCCCGGCCCCCCTTTGTAAAAAGGGTAGACCCTAACTCTTTTCCTTTTTTTTTTTCTTTTCCAGCAAAATCAGTTGTTCTTTTTTGCGTATATATATGAGTTTGCCGACAGCATTGATTGCTTCTCTGAAGGGGAGGATTAACTGTTGCCTCTGACACAATATGCAATTGACGTGGCAATCAGCCACGAACACACTGGTGACCACCAGCAGTGCCGCCAGCAGGACAGTTTGAACTTTGAACCATCGGTGGACGCTGGGCCCGCTTTCCAGCAGGTGACGCTCCCCACCAATAGATGGAGCCTCTCCCCAGGTGTTAGTGGTGACTGCTCTTATCAGCAGCACTAACACTGGTAGGGGCGTGTTTCTCTTCAAAAAAAAAAAAAAAAAAAGAAAAAAAAAAAAAGAAAAAAAAAAAGGGGCAGTTTGAACCATCATCAGTGGGCAGCTCAAGCTTCTAATCACCCTTTAGGCAGTTTGAACCACCAGTGGGGAGGTTTGCAGTTTGAACCATCATCAGTGGGCGCACGTTGAACTACCAGAAGGTAGTTTGAACCAACAGTGTCCTTGGACCTGTTTTGTTGAACCTGCCTTTATAGACACACCCTGGAATGGCTGGAGCTCGGGCCTTGTCTGGAAGAGCTCTTTTTTTTTTTTCTTTTTTTTTTTTTTTTGAGGGGGGGGTGCGAGTTTGTAAGGGCAAAGTTTGTGATCTTGCCGTGGAGGCTGCTGGCCAGAAGTGTTTTTGTTGGCTATGGCAGGCCTCTGTCGAGCAACTACCAGACTTGTCCTGCAGGCCCCTCCTATAAGGGTCTTTCCATGGAGTCTGGAGGATACCCTGTAGGCTAAAACCGCCATTTCGTCCTTCTTGGGACATCCGTTAAAATTGGAACAATACAGAGAAGATTAGCATGGCCCCTGCGCAAGGATGACACACATAAATCGAAAAAAACAAACAAAAAAACAACAACAAAACCCACCATTTCCTGTGGACCTTTTTCTTCTTTCAATGCGTGATCTTGCCTATCCTTATTTCCCGAACCGTTGCGAGCAAGGGCCTCCTGGGCCCTTCCAGGCTTTCTGGTCCAGTAGGCCGAACCTTTCTGCGGCACCAGGTCAACCCATGGGTGCATGCAGGGTAGCTGACTGGGGTACGGGCGGTTTAAGAAATAGGGAAACAGGAAAATCTAGTCTCAAATCTCAGTTTCTTCCGGGGAGAAAGAAAGCGAAAAGTCCATTTTTGAGAGGCCATGGTGCTAGCCAATTGCCGCTCCATTCGTTTTTTTTTTTTTTTTTGGCTTCTCCCCCCCCCCCCCCCCCCCCCCCCGCCCCACCCCCTCCTTGCCCCCTGTCCTCCTCTTTACTTACAACTGGCCTAGATTCCTGATGAATCTCTACCCTTAAATGACTCCCTGGACTCCATTCTACATTTCTGGAGAACGAGATGCTTGTCTCTGGTCTCGTCTTTATCTCCTAATCCGGTTCGGCGGACTTGTACCCTTGGTAGTTTTCGTGTGAATTCTCACTCAACCATACTTGCTGCTTCATCTCTTTTTCTGCATTGCCTTCTGCCCTTATCCGTTTCTATCATCCTCCAATGTGGTGCATTATTTTGTGCCATTTTTTGACTCTCCAAGGTTAATTTTTTTTGCTTAACCTTACTTGGTACCCTCTTGCACATCTGTGATGAACCATATGCATGCATGGGGCTTAAAGGGAGACTACGAGCATACTCACACCTGGATTTATCTGACTGCAATTGGGGTAGTCCTGGATGTATGCGACTACAATTAACTCCACAGATCAGTTGGAATAGTCCTTGTGTAATCATGCCCTAAGGTGGTTGGGTTGGTGGCCATTCAAAGCAAATGCAGAAAGTTATAGAGTAAAGAAAATTGTGTAAGACTTGGATAATGTGCAAAAAAGTCAAATCTGTAAGAAACTGTTTCAACAACCACTGGACGATAGAAGTCCTAGAACTACTGGAAAGCTACTGGAAAGCTACTGGAAAGCTACTGGAAAGCTAGCTAGTGACAAGTTTAGGGGCAGGTGCTCCTTGGTGTCCCCCTGCCAGAACTAAACAAGTGACACCAATATATACAAGGGTTGCGCTGTTGGATTGGATATCAAGGGCATGCCAGCGCTGACCGCAGAATTTTTGTGCATGTATGAGAAAAAAGCATGGTTATGCCGGACCCAAACACTGGACCAATCCGGACGTCTCACCCCCCACCCCCCCACCCCCCCACCCCTCCTTCTTGCAATTGGCTACGAATTTCGAGATAATCCTCACCCAAAGATTTTTGTATTGCGATGCTGCATAACATGTCTTTTTTTCTTTTTTTTGGGGGGGATGACGTGCGGGGGGCCGGGGGGGGGGATTGGGGGGAGGGGGGCGCTGGCTGATCTGGACATCTGGACCGGACACCAGACCCGGGCATCCAGACCTGGGCCATCCGCGTTGCGATCCGGACGTCCAGATCGTAACCATGGAAAAAAGGTATGAAAAAGCAGTAACAAAAACTTTCCTTGGGAAAAAAAGAGCAAACGTTGCATTCCGTCAGCAACATAAATTCAACCGTAAATGTCAACTTTTGTAAATACTTCTAAGATCTAACTTGTGAATGTAAGAAGACCTCAACTTCACAATATGCTGCTTGTGAGCACTCCCTGTCAGATTTGCGAACTGTTTTGTTATCTGACTTTGTCATTGTTGTCCTGTCGCCGCCATGACTTGGTCCTTTCTTGACATGAACACGTTCAGGAGCTTTGCGATGTATTTTTGAAGGAGATCAAGGCAGTCGAGCGCCAAAAGAACCACAAAGTCATAGACTTTTGGGTGCTACTGGTTGTGCATGCGAATGGCGGACTGCACCGAAAAGCAGCGGAGACGATCTTGCGAAAGAAAATCGTTCAAGGACAACTGGGTGACTACCTCCTGCAGTCAAGCATACACAAGAAGGCAGAGTCCTTAAAGGTCAGACACGACGTCGCTCAGGATTTGTCACGGCTGTTCCTTTCTATCGCTTATGAGTCTCCATGTTAATAATGAGATCTATGTATGGGCTTGATAGAAAAAAATGTTGTGTGCAAAAGTCAAGGTTTGAAGGAAAATTCCCGGGGCGTAACGCGGGGGAAGCGTGAGTTGTATTTCTATGTATTCCGTTCTGACTTGCCGGCCCAAAAGGCACCGGACTGCTGCTCCCCAGAATAGAAGTAGCCTAGTTTTTGTTTTTTGCTTTGTTTTTTGTTTTGTTTTTTGAAGGTTTGAACTTTGTAGGAAAAAAAGAACATCCTGATGATTTCCGACATCTGCTCAGGTCAAGGTCATTTCATCAATTGTCTTTTTTATGGTTGCTGCGATTGGAGTCGTCACACATTATCTGGTGTAGTCGAGATCATTCCGCTCATACGTTTTATCGAAACACAAGCTGGAGATGGTATCTGCTTATATTTTTTCTACGAATTTAGTGCTAGGAATTTCTCACAAGCAATTTCGGTTTTTTGCATGATAACATTGTGAGATATAGAATGAAAAACAGTTAGAACTTAGATTGTGATCTTTAGGGTGGTTGTTTCCTAATCAATGTTTTTTTTTTTTTTCGCCCGATGGACCACGGATCAGGTTTTAAACTGATGATCAGAACCGATACTACACTTGATCTATTTTTAGCGAAAAGGCTGAGAAAGATAATGACTAATCAATGTCATTTCAGGTGGTGAAGGGTTTTGTGGCACAGAGTCGCAAAGATTCAAATCATGATGGTGTGTGGATCTTGGGTTGAGGAGGGTTTAGGGTTTAGGGTTTAGGGCTCAGGGTTTAGGGTTTAGGGCTAAGGGCTTAGGGTGTCAGGTTATTGGGTTTTGGGTTTAAGGCTTCAGATTTAGGTTGATGTGTGTAGCTTTCTTTGGGTGCTATGTGTGAGTCCAAATTCCACCCTTGTCTTCCAAAAGGGGACGTGGCTGAGCCCCTTTCACTATGGAATTTGACTGCATTTGAAGTTTGCACTCTTTACCGCAAAGGGGGTAGCAAAGGGATAAACAGTTCTTGGCTGTGACATACTTGTGGTGCACTTGCGGGATGTGGTGTCCGGTGCACGGGAAAATATTGACTTTTTTAAGTTTTTTAACTTCTTTTGCTCAGAATTGGCGTAATTTTTCTTTTCACAGTAGAGAATTGTGCGGTGCACATGCACCAAGTGTGGCACATCAGTGCGAAGCGGGCTGTGTGCTGTACGCTGTGCGCATGTGGGGTGCACTGCACATATGGTTTGTATCATATGGTTTGTATCGTCTAGCACCTTGAACCCGAAGGGGGTAGCCAAGCCACCAGGCACAAGTCCAGTTTATGACATATAGAATTTGCTTTGGCATATGCATGGACATTACTGCAACAGTAGAATGCTGCTGACCATACAGTCAACTACAACAATTCATGCCAATATTTTTATTTTTGACAGCCGACGACAGGTTGATAAAAATCTTGCAGCTCTACCGCAGTACCTCCGTAGCAAAAGAGGGGGGAAATGGGCAGGTGTGTAGGGGGGCCAACATAAGCGGTTAACAGGGACCCCCACTTTTCAGCCCCAGTTAACCCCTCAACCCTGCAAGGCAGCAGGTGCGCAGGCAAGCATGCTCGTGGGCTGTCAAAAAAGTACCATATAGAAATTGATATTTATGCACCCCCACGATGCAACAAAATGATCGTATCTTGCACTCTTGCGCAAAGTGCTTCACGCAATAATCATTGAGGAAGATAAGGAATGACGAGAGCCAAGAGTGCTAGCGACTGCAAACAATAGGCATAGGGAAATGCTAGAAACGCTGAAACAGGGATCTCCTTTGAACTTATATTTTTCTAAACTTGATTACTTGTTATGTTATGACTAGCACATCATTTGAAGGAGAACAGAGCTCTGGCCGAGTCTGAATGCTCTGTCAATATCCTTTTGTTCTATCAATATTAACTATCAATCATTTTCTATTTATATCAACTTTCAATCGTTGAAGGGAAACACCTGAGGCTGAAGTGCACTCACTAGAGGGACCCTCAGATAGTTTGGCAATGGTGGTCACTCTCAACATTGTAGGGTTTCCTTTCATGAATATAAAATTGTATGCTCATAGAACTTGACAAAATGAAGTTCTTTGCTGACGATCATCCTGATCTATTGGTATGATACTGTGGACTGGGCGTGGTAGTATGTGGTTGGGCATGGTACTATGTGGGTTGGGTGTGGTACTATGTGCCAGTATGTGGGTTGGGTGTGGTACTATGTGGAGTGACCTTATCGATGGGTTGGAGACCGTTGGACGTATTGAGAGAATAGACAGGGGTGTGGTACTACTATGTGGGTTGGACGTGGTACTACGTGGGTTGGGTGTGGTACCATGTTGAATGACCTTATGTAGGGCCCCAAGGCCATCAAGAGAGTAGATAGGGGCCGGCAGGTCCCCAAGTTGAAAACCAAGGCACGGAGCTCTGTCCCTGCTATGGACATGGGTTCATACGCATCAGGTTGACGCCAGAATGGTATATGACTATATGCTTATTCTCATCAGGGGAAAGTTGATCGGATGGCAGCCACGATGATTGACAAAAGTGAAAGTTGTGAAACCATATAATACAGTAAGTGTCGAGACTGGCAAATGCATTTGATGGCGTGCTTCGGTGAGGACAATGGGGCCGTGCGCCGGCCGCCTCGTCTTTTTTTAAGTTTTTTGTTCCTTTTTTTTTTCCCCTGTTGCCCGTTTTCTTCCCGATTGGTTCTCTCTTACTCCACTTATTTTGTAACTTTGCGGTTGCCCCGGATAATGTTTTTTTGCAACTTTGCAGGATTATTTCCCAACTTTGCTCAATATCAGTGAAACATTTATGAGGGCACGAGAGGCAGCTGTTCGACAGTTTGCATGCAAAACATATGCTCTCCTTTTCGAGTCGTTTGCCGATTCTTATCATCGCCAAGAGGTGTGTTCCCTTTGTCACGACAGGAGTGATCATCTCAAATTGATTTTGCCTGACAATGCCTGTCTAATCGTAAGAGGTAGTTGTGCGAGATCTGTAAATGACATACTGTTTCTTTTTTTCTGATTCTTACCGTCAACGTATCGTTGCTAGAAGGATGCTGCCTTGACTTAACCTGTGTACAAGTCTATGAGTTCATGCACACCGGATTTATGCTATTGCGCATGAGAGAACAAAACAAGCAGTGCAAAGGAGCAATTCATATGGCAGTGCCGTGGTTGTCCTTGTCGGTTTGAGCAGCATATGTGTCAACTTGATGACTTGGCAGAGAACCTACAATAAGCATTTGACTGGACATTATTTTGGACTAGATGAAAGCGCATCCATGCTAGACTTCAAAAGCCCATTCGGAGTATGTGCTTGGTTGGACCATTTTCCACTTTGTGTGTGCACTATGCTTGTGGAAGTAACCATCCTGATGTTCTCTATAACAGGCAGATTACGGAACTCATGGGGACAGTATGCAGAATATAACAACACAACCTCCATGTATCTTGCCGATTCAACTTTTAGACCCATTCATCAAAAGCCTTTTTGGTTACTTGTGGCAGATTGTTTACGTTTAGGCTGGATTGGATGTCAACCTGTGGAAGCACCCTATGTAACTATTGGACAAATTGCATCAGGTTTCCCCCCCCCCCCCCCCTCTTTACTTCGCAATCACGCCCTTTCTTGGTAAACAAAAAGCAAAAAGTGGATGTCCTGAAGGACGGGGTTCGGAAATTTCACATCGAGACACTGGATTGAAAGCATCTGTACCTGTTTTGCCAGAGTGGCCTTCTTTCCCCGAATAGTTAGAATGGTCATTTGTTGCTGCATCTGGACTGAAAGGTGAGCCAAATACAGTTACTATGACCGTAAGTTCTATTCAGGGGAAGACGGTCGTCTGCGAACCTGCTGGTTGGTTGGGGCTAAAATTGGAAGATGAATGTTTCCGATGCTTGTGTCTGGGAATGGGCAGAGCGTGGGGGTGAAGAAGGTAAGCATTGTTTTCCCGGGTGACCCGGCCGTGCAAGGACCAGGGAAGGTCCCATCAAAAGAAAATAAAAATAACAAAAATCCAAAAAAATACGCAAAAAAAACTTAAAAAAACTATGTTATGCAGGAAAATAAACTGAACAACTTTTGCCTCAGGGTCACATCGAAATTCTTTACCAAATTTTACGTATAATATATATTAACTTGTTCTTGGCCCGGCCGGGCAAGTGGTCCCGGGCCACTCTGGTAGCCTCGGTCATTAGACTAAAATTCACTAAATAAATGAGGTAGGTAACCGTGGGTTCGAATAAAGCTACTTTCTGTCCAAGTGATGAGAGTTTTGAGTGTTTGGAGAGTTTTTCGCAAACCTGGAACACTCTGGAAACACTCGAAACTCTCATCACTTGGACAGAAACGCTCAAAACCCGGTGTTGCAACTTCACACACGGCTTCTGTGTGTTGCGCAAAGTTGCACTTTTCTGCAGAAAGTAAACAACTTCTTATGGCAGCAAAATCATGTAGCGGAGCTGGCCGCACTGATAACTGACATGTAACTGGATTATGTCCTCAAAGGTTCTCTGCAGAGAGTTATGCGTCTGTCTCGGACTTACTGCAGTGAAATATCGTCTACAGGTACTGGCTGCTCTCATAACTCATACTGGGTCTGTAAATAATGAAGAAGTGGGGCCTTCAATGGAGACTCTTGTCTCGTTGGCGACAACTTTCCCACATGAGCTTCTGCCATTTGCAAATTTCATCAAAGGTACGTAATATTGTCCTTTCTGCTGAGTAATAATAATTGCATCCGAACTTTTCAGGGAAAAAAAAAAACCATCGCTGCGCAAAGGTTGGGCCGGTAAGCACTCATCGAATGAACGACGGGTTGGCAGCTCCCTTTGTCCACCTGTCCTCAAATTTGCTGATGTGTACACGAGCAGCACCCAGAGGTACAGTGCATCGACCTCACGGTACCAGTGTGGTCCACGTGGTGCAGACAAACAAAATTGAAAATCCATTCCGAATTCAAAGGGAAGTACTGGAATTTTGGTTCAATGAAGCGGATTTTGGCTGGAACAATAACCTAGATTCGTTTCAGAGCCAGATCCATTGAGGAAAATTGAAAAAAAAACTCGCAGTTGTAGAGGACTTGTTGCATACTCGTGAAACACAGTCATAAGTATGGCGCAGATTCCCAGAACCGACCAGATAATACAGAGTTGATACAAATACAGCGGAAGACTTGAGATACATGGACTGACTCAGACCTGACTCGGACTGCAATCAAACACTCTCAATCATACATCAGTGGTGTGAAAGCCTTGGCCTTGGACATAGACGAAAGGCCAGGGTCTGAGATCATCCACGGACGAATGGAGGGAGGAGAGAGACGAAGGGAGGAGGAGAGGGAAGATGATGTCAACTCAATGTTTCCAAAGATCGTATCTTGAAATGTCAGAGGTAGCGATAATCCGAAATGCTGCGAACACAATGTCTCACAATGTCTCAGATATCGATCTCACAATGTCAAGTACATCTCCAGAGGAAGATGAAATCAGATCCCACGAGTAGTCCTCAACCTATAGCCCCNTCTCTCTCTCTCTCTCTCTCTCTCTCTCTCTCTCTCTCTCTCTCTCTCTCTCTCTGTGTGCAAAATCGGAATGAATCAGACACACACAATGTTCCATACTCGTGAAACACATTCATAAGTATGGTGCAGATTCCCAGCACCGACCAGATAATACAGAGTTAATACAAATACAGGGGAAGACTTGAGATACATGGATTGACTCAGACCTGACTCAGACTGCAATGAAACACTCTCAAACATCCATCGGTGGTGTGAAGCCATGGCCTTGGACATAAAAGAAAACGCCGGGGCAATTCTCATGCACGGATGAATGGAGGGAGGTGAGACGAAGGGAGGAGGAGAGGGAAGATGATGTGAACTCGATGTTCCCAAAAATAGTATCTTGAAATGTCAGAAGTAACGAAAATCCGAAATGTCACGAACACAGAGTCTTGCAGTGTCTCAGATATCGATCTCACAATATCAAGGTACTTCTTCAGAAGAAGATGAAATCAGATCCCCAGAGTAGTCCTCAACCTACAGTCTCGATGTCGCTGTCTCCAATGTCATCAGAACTCGTCACCATCCTTCATACTCTAGCAGTTCCGTAGGAGTAACCAGGAGTAGACTTAGACTTAGAAGGTAGGGGGAGAGAGAGAGAGAGAGAGAGAGAGAGAGAGAGAGAGAGAGAGAGAGAGAGAGAGAGAGAGAGTGGCGGAGGAGGAAGAGGGAGAAAAGGCGAGGCCTTTCTCCCTGGTACCTGTCCCGGTAGCTATGGCGCTGCAGGAGGCTGGCGCTGGGCCGCGGGCTGGGCCGGTGGCTGGCGCTGTTCCTGCTGYGCTGGTTCCTCCTCGCCGYGGTGCTGATCCYTCCTCGCTGTTCCTACTAACGCTGCTGCACTGCGCTAATCCTGCTAACGCTGAAGCTCTGCACTAATCCTGAAGACTAACCTCCTCGCTACTAACCTCCCTACYGAGGCTGGTACCCAGCCTTTTGTAGTGCCRGGCTGGCCTCCYACCTGCTGGTACCTACCGGCCTGGACCGTTGATCTGATCAACGGTCCAGATTCAAAACTGGACTTGGYGCCTAAACGCGGCAGCCTCTGCACTTGCGCCGCCGGTAGGTCCTATGCTGGACCGGTACCGGCCTTGTGGCCGTTGGCCTGGGCCTCTACCCCTGGCCTGCCTGAACCGCCGTACCCCTGGCCTACCTGGGCCTCATCTGAACCACCGTCGTCCCCTTAGGCCTACCCTGCCTATCTGGAACCGGGCCCTAACTCTGGCCCGTGTGGCTCAGAATGCCACATACTCCCCCCCTTGAAGACCGAGCTAACTGCGAGGTCGAAGTTGTCTGTCCGATGTCCGTACGGGGCGGGCAGGTTAGGCAGCTTCCTTAGCAAGTCGATGTTTTTCGTAATGCGCGAAGATGAGGGGTGCTGTCGCCTTCAGGTCAGCTCGTGAAATCCAGCGTGTGTCGTCGGGATCACATTGCTTGAATGTAACTTTGTACCGCATTGGCTTGTTGCCGTGCTTGCGATGAGCGAGGACGCGGTCGACCTCCTGATGACCATCCATTGGAGGGTCCTATGACCGTCTGGCCGGGAAGTCCGCTGGGGAGGCTGGAGTGTAGACCACCAGCTTTGAAGCGTGAAATACCGGGTGGACCGTCAAATGCGTGGGAATCTCGATGATGAAAGATGGACCCGCGGGGTCGTCGCCAGCTGCTGAAGTGACCGTCCATGGCCCAAACCACTTTGGGAGGAGCTTGCGCGAGACGTGCTGCTCGAGCGCGAATTCCTCGGAGGTGACCCAAACCAGGTCGCCAGCGCGGATTGGACATGGGATGCAACACCGGTTGCTTGGTGCTGCATACGGACCTGAGCCTTTTGCGTATTTGCGTGGGCTTTGGCCAGCAGTTCTCTGTACTTCCGTGTAGAAGCGGGGGAGCAAGTGGCGTCGATATCGGCAGCCCGTGGAAGCAAAATGTTTGCGAAGATACGTCCTTTCCGTCCATTGTGATGCAACTCGAATGGAGTCACGCCAATCGCCGGGTGCACCAAAGTGTTGTAGGCAAACTCGATGTCGGGAAGGCAGTCAACCCAGTCCTTCTTATCTGGGCGGATGAGTGTGCGGAGCATCATCTGCGCAGTCTGGTGCGCACGTTCCGTTTGCCCATCCGTTTGAGTCTGGTGCCTGATTCCACCATGAGTGTCGTCCAAAAGGCTGACATGAAACGAGTGTCGTGGTCGCCGACGATGTCTTCCGGAACGCCGTGGCTGCAAAACCAGCTGGTATGCAAAAGTCGTGGGAGCTCGGGAGCCGTCGCATGATACTTGATGGAAAAAATCGAGCGTACTTGCTCAAACGGTCGACGACCGTGAGAATACCATCATGGCCAAGGTGATCGCGAGGGAAAGGACCGGTCACATCCATAGCAATGGAGAGACCCGGTTCCCGAGGAATCGACAATGGTTTCAGTTCGCCGTATGGGAGCTGATGGCGCCCTTTGTTCCGGTGGCAAACTGCACATGACTGAATGTACCGATTGACGTCGCTGATGATGTCCGGCCAGTGAAATCGCTGGCGGAGTCGTGCAAGTGTGCGTGTGACGCCAAGGTGTCCCGCTAGTTGAAGAATCGTGGTGTTCGCCAAGGAGGCGAGTGCGCAAGGTGCGGTCTTGGGGAACACACAACAAGTCCTTGCCTCGTGTATAGAGAAGCAAGTAGTTGTCGACAATGTGATAATTGCTTGCCGGCGGGTGATCCGATGATAAGTCCGCATAGAGTGTGGAGAATCTCGGATCCGACTTGTAGCCGTTTACGAAATGCTGTTGCAGGTCCTCATCGAGGCCGAATGTGGAGTGCACCAAGGCGCAAAGATCAGGTCTTCGCGAGAGAGCATCCGCTGCCTTGTTCGAGGAGCCTGGTATATGCTTGGAGGTGAAGACGAAGTGGTCAATGAAGTACATCCACCGACGGATCGTGCTGCTCACCGTGTCTTGCGTCTTGTAATACATCAACGGATTGTTGTCCGTTGCCCACGTGAATCGCCGACGCCCGAGGAGAAAGTGACGCCAACGCTTAAGTACGATGACAAAAGCTAGCAGTTCCTTCTTCCTCGCATCATCAAGTGTATTGATGGGCGGCACCTTTTGGCTGAAGTACTCAACTGGATGCCAGTCTGTGCCGTCATGTTGTTCCAAAACCGCGCCAATGCCATAGTCGGAAGCGTCCGTAGTCAGTTTGGTAGGCAAGGTCGGGTCATAGATGCTTAAGACGGGAGCTTGGAGCAAGGCCGTCTTCAGCGTATGGAATGCGTGTCGGGCTTCGTCATTGAACTCGAAGGGCACCAAGGGGGACTGAAGTCGCGACAATGGTACAGTGATACGTTGAAAACCTTTGACGAAGTGCATGTAATATGATGCTAAGCCAAGAAAGGAGCGGACTTCGGTAGTACACTTGAGGTCCGACCAATCTTGAATGGCTTGTACTTTGTCCGCGAGTGGACAAATGCCTTGCAGCGTAACGTAATGGCCTAAGTACTCCAACTCTTGCTGGGCAAACTCGCACTTGTCGCGGTTCGCCTTGTACTTGGCGATACGGAGCCGCTCCAAAACGGCGCGAAGGTGCTCGAGGTGCTCGTCCAGCGTCCGACTATAAACCAAGATATCATCAAGGTAAATGAGTACGGTGCGGTCGAGCAGGTCGCAAAATTCCATTGTCATAGCCGCTTGGAAAGTAGCCGGGGCATTGGTGAGACCGAAAGGCATGACGATCCACTCAAAGTGCCCATACCGCGTCTTGAATGCGGTTTTGTACGATCTCTTGGCTGTATCTCGATCTGGTGATATCCGGACTTGAGGTCAAGCTTCGAGAAGTACTTGGCGCCGCCTAGTCGCTCAAGAAGATCATCGATCTGAGGGAGAGGGCCGACGTTCTTGATCGTTTGCCCGTTAAGTTTCCGATAGTCGGTGCACAAACGAAGGTCTTTGTTCTTCTTCCGGACGAAGAGAATGGGAGCACCGTATGGCGAACAGCTAGGGCGAATCCAGCCCTTGGCCAAGAGGTCGTCTAGTTGTGTCAGAAGCACTTGAAGCTCCTCTTCGCTCATGCGGTAGATACATCAGCGTGGAGGTACGCAAACTTCCTCGAGAGTGACCCCGTGGTGTATGGGCCGATCCGGTACGACTCCGGCGGG